TATTGAGAGATATAGAAATATGAGTAATTCCATGCAATGTTAACATAATATTACACACGAGCTCTTAAATAATATTTCATTTACATCAGACGGCTTCACACATCAAGACCTCCTAGTACTACTTCATAAACATCAAAACAAAACTAATTTGAAATATAAATCGAGATAAATTTAAATTATTAGATGCCAATAGTTCATCACGTGTACTTTTGATTGCCCATACGATATCAAAGTACAATTGATTGATGGAAAGACATTGCCAGCAAAACTATTTCCTTAAAATTTGCAAAACAAATTATTTACTGATTCAAGAGATTCTACTAAACCTACTCTCCAAATTTGGTTCAGAATATTGCAGCAATTCATTTCAATTAATTATAGAGAAACAATATATCATTATTGTAAGATTAAAAAAAAAACAAAAACTAAGATTATGATGCAAGCAACAACTTCTTTGCTGTAAAGATATTTCTATTTCTATTGCTAAATACCTTCCTTTTTTTTGTGAGAAAACAATAAAAAAACTGTTTTATATGGTAAGAACAAAAATTTATCTTACAAGATAGTTATCATAATTGTTATGCAAAGTAATCGGATCGAAAATATATATTTATTTATTTCATTTAAGCTTATCTCATCCACAAATGACACTAATGATTATATGAAGATAACTTATTCAAACCCAATTAATATAATATTGCATGCGAATTAAAATAACAAAAGCTAAACATGGATTTTACTTCCATGTGCCGTCCCTTGTCAGTTCTTATGCCTCACCTTGGACGAAACACTGACTTCCCATAGATTCATCTCGCACAACACTAGTTATGCCTCTCGGATCAAACTTGTCCCAATGTCAAGTACAAAACTAATTGTTATTTTGTTGTCCTCTTTTGTGTCAGTTCTGCAAAATGATTACTTATCCTTATATTTAATAATATGAAGAAACCGAATAAGATTATGTCTGTTTTGCAGAAAGCTCCAAGTGCCTTGCTGCTATCCTGACCCAATTTAAGAAATAAGGAAAAAATTATCTGAGTGATTATTCTCTGCTTGCATGAGATTTTATCTGTCATAACAAACTGTTGCGAGAGACGTGAAAAATTCGAGGAAATCAATATGAAAAATTCGAACTAAAATTTTGAAAAGAAATAGATAAATAAGAAAAATTTTAAGAAAATATAATATAAAAAATTAATGTGGGAAAAAAATTTAAGAAAAATAAATTACGAAATCACATCACACTAATATATCTATCACTAAGAAAGAAAAGAATTATATAAATTACACCACATTTAAGGTTCTTCAATATTTGGAATTCTTCAAGACGCTCCTCTCCTCTAATTAGTATAAGAAAATTGAAATTTAACATACAATGAACACACAATCCAATAGTGAAGTTGAAAAATTAAGGAAATAGTCTGAATTTGGTTATCAATGCTGAGGCGTTGCAGTGCTTCAACGGACATTGACCTCAAAGCGCTGCTTGATTTTCTTAATGATGTCAGAATTGAATGATCTTAGGCTCGTTAAATTTGTCTCGCTGAGATGCTCGATTCGTCTATGAGTTAGTTAGATTTAGATTTTGTTTGGCATTCCAATTCGGCATTAGAATCTTCCAAAAATGGCTTAATAGTTCTATTTGTGCTTGATATGATTTCGTTTAGGCTAATTTTTGTTTCATTGTATTCTTGTCATCAAATAGGTTAGTTTGACTATATTTTTCGTTGAAGTTGGAGTTTTGGATGATTTATAGCTGAAATTTTAATGCGCTTTGCAAAAACAATTATCTCGAGATTTGTGTCGCTCCTCAAGATTCATGTCAAATGATGAAAATTGTTGATGATGCATATCATTTACAAATATATTAAGACAAGCTAGTTGCACAGGAGTTAGCTCTTAATTACATTAAAAAATGAAATCCATGCACTGATGCACGTGCATTTTGTAGCATGTGGTGGAATATATTGCTGAATGGTCAAGAAACTGACTGATAAACACTATGTCAGAATAAGGTCTCCTTGCTCACCATTCGAAGGATTTTTTTTTTTCTTATTTTAATTTTTTCTTAAAATTTTGCTAAAATTTGGCATGGGTAAATATTTTTTTTTAAAATTTATCTCATTTATTTATTTCTTGATAGTAGCCATGCTCCACTTCTTAATTTCTAGCCTAATTTTTTATATAACACTAATTTAAATTAATAAGTTTATTCCTCTTTTTCTTTCATCATTTTATTTTTTATTTTCATTTCAATACATAAGAACATTTTGTGATATGACTATTGTGGGTAGGATTTTTTAGAGCAGGAGCTGCATGAAGTCATGTCAATCATGAAATTTGAGATTTCTGTAAATAATTAATAAAATTTAATATTTTTTTAATATAATTTAAATAATTTAATAATTTTATCTCCCATCGATATATTTATTTACCCAATATAATTAAATAACATATAGATTCAAATAAAATATAATTAAAATCCCATACAATAAATTTTATTTAAAATTGTGACAGAATAAAATAAGTAAAAAAAAACTAAAATAGCTATTAACATCATCCAGCAAATGTTTACCAACTAAACGTCCCAATAATTTTAATTAATTTTTAAATTGAATTTTAAATAAATATACAGCGAATTTTTATTTGGCTGGCCAAATTAATGCCAGTGCCTACGCATTAAATTTATATGGGATCTGGAGAAATTAATCACTGTTTCATCTGATGAAGTTAGCGAGGTTAGAAACTACCAATTACGTATGAAAGAGCCAAGATTTTTTGGCTCGTTTAATGCATACAAGCAAGAGCAGCTCAAATTTTTTTATTGGCTAGCTCAATATATGACCTTTTTTCAAGTCATGCATGACTCATAAACATTGATTTTAGCTCAGTTTAAATAATAATGTATTCAATTTTAATTGATTATCAATATCTTAAGCTTAATTTCTATTCCAAATATCATGTATACATTCACACACACACACGATACACACACACACACACACACACACACAAATTCAATCACACACACACACACACTACAAAAATATATAGAAACATATCAACATTTTCACAAATAAAAGGAAGTAAAACATACAAGATATATGTATATACATAAATACATTTTGATTTTATATCAAGCTAACATTACATGCCATAGGTTTGTTATTCATGTTGGATTCAAGGCAAACTAGTTTGTTCATATACTCACTTTATTAACTTCATTCTGAGTGTAAAGTTGAACTAATTTTAATGTATTTTGAAATCTAATTATTAAAATATTGTCATATTAAGCACATGCCACTACATGTTAATTAAAACCTTTTAGGAATTAGAATTGTTTCTAAATATTGAAATCCTCATAATGTAGAATTACAAGAGATCTCAAGATTCAGGAATTAGACCATGCCAATGATCCATGTGCTTGCTTTTTTTTTTTTTTTTTTTTTTTTTTTTTTTTTTGTTTTATTTTTTTTATTTTATTTTGGAGAAGTTCATGCACTATAAAATAATCCTTCCCTTAAGAATTCTTATAGATAAAAGAGTTTCATGATATACTCTCATGGCTTAGGATTTCACCACCATCTAACTAATTTATGTGTGAAAATTATCACATGTGAGATTTTCATCATTGAGAGTTTAGTTGTGGGGTTTTTTGTTAATTTGTGTCAGTGTGTGTTGGTGGGCGGGTATACTTGGTTTTAGACATAGTTGTGTATTTCTTAATTCAATGTATACATGATGGTTAATGTATTTATCTATTATTAGTAGATTGAATTCTCTCCCCTCTCATGAACTTAAAAGGAAGATTGATTGAAATTAATTGCATCAAGTCTTCTGTGATGCATTTTTCACTTTATCATTGATAAGTGTTTCCTTTATTTTTTTTTTTTTTTTGATGATGCATCCATTTTTTTGACCTTTATAATTCTTTTGCATTCAATTATGCTAAAGTTTTATTATTATAACATTTCCAAATCTAATGCCAAGTATAAAAAAACTTAAAAACAGACCAAAGAACAACTATATTTGTTTCCTAAATTTTTGGATAATTAATATACATACCATGCAATTCCTAAGTGCACCTAAAGTCTGATATTTAGATATATAACAATTTGGTGTCACAAATTTATATATGAAGAAAGATATATTCCACTTTTAAAAAGTTGATGGTTGTGATTGTTTGATGTGATATTAAAGATTTGAGTGTCATGAATATAATTATAAAGTTTTAGGTGTTAGATATCCAAGAACATAAAACTTATGTGGTTTAACAACTCAAAAAATAGTGCTGCTGATAAATCCATGTAAACATGTAAAACTATATACCTTCTAAATTCTTATGAGATCAAACAAGAATTTTAGGTGTTAGATATCTAAGAACATAAAACTTAGGTGGTTTAACAACTCAAAAAAGAGTGCTGCTGATAAACCCATGTAAAAGAATATATACCTTCTAAATTCTTATGAGATCAAACAAGAATTATTTGCCTTCCAACTTAGTCTGAACCAGAAAAAAAAAAAAGAAAAAGAATAAGATAGAAATTATATATAAACCAAAATTCATCTGCCTTCCTTAGTACAGACAAAAAATTATTTGCTCAAGGGGGACGCATAAGTTCAAGTGAAGTACAACAGTTAGCTAATCAAATTTAGATTTTATAATGAACATGAGAGTGATGTATTTTGGGCATCATTGCCCGGCCAAGCACATTGAAGGAATCACCACATATTATTTCCCAAAAACAACAAAACTAGATTCATGACTCCTCTGCAAAGCTATGGGATCAACTTATACGTTAATTTCTTGTGAGGAAAGAAGACCAACAAAGGAAAAAGAAGCATTCTCCATTTGCCCTCGTTGGCTTCTCACTGTTACAAGCGATGAGTTGAATTCATGAGAAAAGGTGCGCACGTTGCCTTTTGCAGCAAAAAAAAAGAGCTTAATTAAAGCTTGGATTATACTGAAAAAGAAATAAACTCGAACATAAATTGTTCATCTATTCTATCATGATTATGGTGCAATCCTTCTTAACTTTTGGAGGATCTCCAAGCCTAAGCTCCAGATCCAACTCTTCAACTTGGCATGTTCTAAGCCTTAATACTTCATCAGAATTCAAAACTTGCAGCTGATCTTCTCCATCACTCTTTCTATCCAAACCCAACACCAAATCATCACTAATTTTCAGCTTCTTACAATTACTCGAAACCTCATAAACCCCACAAGTTTCTCTTTTTCTCTTGCAATCCATCTCACTTAAGTTCAAATCAACTGAAACTTCCTGCGGCAGAATTGAAAAGGAAGAAGCAACAAAAAAGTTCTTGTCTTCTTCATTAGAAGGGCTTGAAGCTTCAAGCTTGAGTCTTGCACGGTCCCGGCGATGAACATTCATGTGGCCACCAAGAGCCTGAGCTGATCTGAACTCCCTCCAGCAAAAGGTGCACGAGTAGGATCGAGGAGGCCATACGCAGCCCCATAGATCGCCGGAAGAATCTTTCGCGAAAGCAAACTCCTCCCATGAATCAAATGATGATGAAGAAGGAGAAGTGAGAATTGGGTTGAAATAGATTGGCTTGGTTGAGTAGTTCTTGCTTCTTTCCCACATCCAGTTTCTGGTTTGGTCCATTGCACTTTGCATGGTGAGAGGGATGAAGATTCAGAGGTTGAAGAAGACTGGAAGAAGGTGGATGTCTTAAGAGCTTCTCTATGGAATTGGTGAGATATATACTGAAGATTGAGGTGAAGGTTTTGATTGGTTTCTTATTGTGGGAAGGTGCATGTTGAGTATTTGGTGGGTATGCTTATCTAAATTATTGTTTAATGGGTGACACTTACAAACAATAAAAAAGACATTACTTGAGCTCATTTTCTAGTAATTTGGGGTCAAGGTTGAAATATTCTTATTTTGATGAGTTGATTGATAATTTTTATGATCAATACTGTTAAGAAAAAATTATGAGTATATTTTAATTTTTGTTATAATATTAAGTTGAAAGTATGAATAAAAAAATGATAAAATCTAATTGAAAAATGTAAATCTGATTGCATTAAAATCATTAAGATTTTATTCATTGTAGAAAGACATAGCAAGCCTCCGTGAAAGGCAAGCATGAGGATGAATAAAAATGAGAAGAGAATTGGAATGAAATTATTTTTTATCCACATATTGAATTGAAAATATTTTGAGTAAAAATTTCTTTTAATTTCTCATTTACACTAAGAAATGTATCACTTTTGGAATCACCTATCCTTTAAAAACATGAGGTATTTATTTCGTGTTATTGTGCCTTTTTATCACCAAAATTGATGGCAAAGTTGGTCAATATAACATGAGGCATAGTAATTTTGTGGAGCGAACTACTAATCACTAGTGTTACAACTGCATGCAGTCACTGTTGGCATGACATAATGGGCTTAAGTAAGGCCTATCACTTGTAAGTGATTAATGCTTATAAATCTTTGCTTTAGGTCTATCATATAATCTTTAATTGTAGATCACAAAATATTAAGCATGAAGACCTTTAATTTATAATATAAAGCTTTAAGTTAATTTCATAATACAAGTACACATATATCTATTAGGTTCATATTTATTTTTAAGAAAATAATCTTTCTCCTATGATGTCATTATGGATGTCTTCTTATGCTAGGAATTTTGAAGAATGAAATTGAGAGACATTTTTTGACTATGTTTCTAATAAATATTTTTTTTAGTTTATGCCTATAAAAAAATCATCAATTTACATTTGTTAAAATTAGTGTGATTACTTATCACTTTTAGTGGCTACTGTTAATCATTTTAAAATGTTGAAACATTTTCAAAGAATTCATTCAATCAAGCACATACTTGATGCAAGTGTTTGAATAAAAATAAATAAATTAAATGCAAAGTCATGAAATTTTCATTTTATTATCAAAATGTGCATCTTGATGGGATGAATATATTTTTAATGATGTTAGGACACTTAAGTAAATGAAATATCTTCAATGATCAAGGTGATCAACACTGGACATTGGCTCAACCATATGTGGATTTCTGTTAAGATAATAAAAATATCTCTATATAAAATTATAAATATATCCTCTAACACATGAAGGGAACCTAGAGTATGAGAGATTTATACATTTAAGAAAACATAGAGTTTTATTTAATGTTTGACAACAACAATCATTGCTAGCAACTGGCATCTAACATCTCGCTTAACACAGATGTTTTTGGTGCCAATAAGGTCATCACACATCAGCACTAAAATCATTCATGTTTGTTGTTACCAATGAAATCAATTCATGTCATTAAAATTAATATTGAGTCCTAACATATCCAACAAGGTTGATACACTATTGATGTCATACAAATACTTGTCGACTCTACAATGATTAAATACAAACCAACCTTACCTTTGATTTTGGATCCACGTGACATTCATCCTTTTCTAATCAAGGTACAATCAATCCTAGGGGGAGTCGATTCAACATCTTCCATACAATTTCATGTTTTAAAGTAAGGCTCTCACAAATAATCTCGGATACATCAAACATATTTGGTGGATTTCATTTAACCTCTTCCATTTATCTTAATAGTGTAGAGTAAAACTCCAACAAGATAACCTTAGATAGGTCAAACTTCCTTGTTAAAATTTCTTAAATCTCTTCAACGCAAGTTACATCATCGAAAAGCACTTTGATGAACAAAATCAATCGAGTCAAGCGTCATTTGACCTATTCTACATAGGTTAACATCATCAAGAAGCACTTCAACAAACAACCTTAGATATATTAAATATCAATGGTGAATTTCATTCAACCTCTTCCACAAACTAATGTTATCAAATAGAACTCCAATAAAAAAGCTCATACTTGTCAAACATATATGGTGGATCCTCTCCAATCACTTCAACTCATGTTAAGCCCAATGTTGTTTGTTTATCATTATTCAATGGCTATGTCACCCACTAATCACTCTTATATAATAGTCTGAATACACCCTACATAACCTTTGGTGCTTAGCTATGATCATTCTTCTTCAAGAAAGATAATGATTTAGTTTGCTCTAGGGGATAGGGTTCTTAAAATTTTTGCATTCTCACCAAAGCCATGAAATCATCAATGTTTTTCAGGCCACCATCATGCATACAACCGACATCACCAATATCACTTGATCATAACTGCTCGACAACAATCATCATGGTTAGGTCAACATTAGATAGTTGACTCCTCTTGACTCTCATCAAGGTTGTCAAGCTGATGGAGCTAATGCCACCATCATAATGTTCTGACTAATAATGTTGTTTTCACAATCTCTTGCTACTATTGCTAGACCATTCTCACTTGATCAATGTTGTTTGGATAAATCATGTTGTTAGACTATTGTTGCTATCAAACCACTGTTTCCATTGTCAAACCACTATTTTCAGGACAATACTATGCTTGATCACATCATCGGTCAGCTATCATGATGCACCACCTTCATTTATCTGCCACAATGCTAGAATACCATCATCGGTTTGTTGCCATGATGCACCACCATCATCGGGCAGCCACTATGCTTGACCACTCTCATTAAGCTATTGTTGTGCTTAAGCAATATTATTAGGTCACTATAGTGTTAGACCATTATCATTAAGCCATCACCGCATTTATGGTACACCATCACCATCGCTAGATCACTATCATCTAGTCAACATCATGATCATCATAATAAGTCGTCATAGTCAAACCATCATCACCAAACTAATGGCGGTGAAGCCACCACTATAATTGACTGTCCAACAGAGCTATTGTCGCTATTACCATTATTGTTGGATCATGATCTGCGACTACTAATAATAGGCCATTGGAGCACAATCATTATTGCTCGACTATTAGTGTTTTACCAATGGAGCGTTTGTTGCTACAGTCACCAAACCACTACTACCACTACCAAACCACTATGTCAAACCATTGTTATGTTGTATCATTATCATCGAGTTATCACCAAGCCATACACCGGCATTGTTAGCCACTACGTTGAACCACAATTATTGAGTTGTCAATGTGCTAGAGCACTATTATTAGGTATCCATAGTGCTGGGTCATTACCACACAACAGTTGCATGACACCATCAACCAATTGCTACTATTCTCAAAACAATATCACCTTGTTGATGTCATTTTGGAGTCATCATCATTGTATCCCAACCAACACTATTATTTTTATCTTTGTACCTACCAATGCTAAATCACCATCAAACTATAAGCCATGACCACCTTCAATCCATGTCACCGTCATTGGGATGCCGATACCATAAAACCTCCGTTGCCTAGTCACTATGGTCATTGCGGCCTGGCCACCATTGTCGGGCCACCGCTAACGACGACGCTGCATTAGTTTTTTTAGGCACACAAACTCTATTGTTGGTCTTCCTTCACAAAAGTTGGGTCACCACCACTTTCCCAATGTATTCTACTACTCCCTGAGTAGAACTAGCATCGATAATCCCCCCTTCTGTAATATTGCTTCCCGCTATTCAAGAGTCAACAAAGTCTTGTATGTAACCTACATCGATGTAGTGAAATTATTTAAATTGGGCTAGGTCTCACATTTTTTACCTTTTTGGGTTTTCCATGTAAAAAAAATCCCTTGTAATTTCTCTATCAGCCCTTCTTTTATTTGTGCGTGTGTGATGGATTCTCGTACAATGCTAAGACATTAATATAATTCTACCACTGTGAATTCTCTGACACAAAACAATTGTTAATGGGGCAAAACCCACTCTCCATACCAAGATGATACTAACTCACTTTGTTCTCCTTAAAGAAAGTTGACCAATCATTCTTCAAGCAATCTATTGAAAACATCTTCAAAGCCTCTACAATCCTTCAGATGTGTGCATTCTACATAATTAACATCTATAATAATGTATCAACGCCTGCCTCAATTATGAGAAAGAGTATCATTTATAATCCTGATATATACTAGTAGAATCATTTAAGTAAGACCAGGCCTGTGATTTTTCTTTTTTTTGGTTTTTATATAAGAACTTAGGTGTTTTCTCTCACAACTTTTCTATCATGTGTGTGTGCTAGATTTTTGTACGAAGCTAATGCATTATTCTATCACTCTATTATTATGAATTTCTTTGCACTCAGCAATAACACACACACACACAGATATATATATATATAACTGTGAAGCCGAAGCCCTCTGCAAAATTCCATGAATAAATAACCATCTTACTTCATCATTTTACATATAATGGATTTCTATGACAAAACCATCTGAACTCATTGTTTTATATATGTGCTATTTGTTTAGAAATTCATATGCGCGGCAAATTATCGGGCACCATCTGATCTCATTATTTCCATTCGTGTGAAGGAGTAATAGGCAAATTAGTAAAATTGCATGAGGTTCCCCTCAACAATTTCACAAACAACTTCACAAACAAAACCAAGTGATCTTATTATTTAAAATATGTTCAAATTCTGTATAAATTAATATGTGCGGCAAGTTTTCTACTAACACAAAAAATTTTCATTTGTGTGCACGAGATGGCGAAGGAAAAACAAGCAACCAAAGCGAAATGATTCCATTTTTTCATATATGCACATATTCTTTAGGATGTATAGCAACTTCTTAGACTAGCA